CAACATGAGAATAATAAACCTGATTAAAACCCTCAATGGCAGTGGTATATGGAGGAGGGTAATTTTCTAAAAACTTGACGATGTTGACACAGTCTAGAGGCATTGTGAAACAGGAAATGTGTGTACACAGACAATCTGAAAGCTTCTGTACTTTCCAAAATGGCAGTTTAAAGGCTGTTGAAGCATGTATGAGCAAGCAGGCTCACAATGGTGGGTAAAGCTGCTGATGAGTTCATATCTTTTGTTGTCCACATTGTGGTGAATATGTCCTAATCTTTCCATAAGCTGATTTGTTTTGTTCTGTTTTTATAACTTATCCCGCTTCCTACTGTGCATCCAACATTTATGAAGAAATAGTTTGAGACTCGCATTTTCTTTTTCACCAGATTGAGAACAGTTATTTCTCTGCTGTTTTCATGTGTTCTTTTTACTGATTTGAGGGCGGGGGTCAGTAAAAAAAAAAATGATGTCATATACCTCTGGGCACCAATCAGCACTTAACAATATCTTAATTAAAATCAGAGGACAGTTGTGGGGTTACATGCTTTGTTTCCACTGTCAAACCAATCTGAACCACACCCAAACCAGTCCTGATGAAGCAGATTAGCTCAGATTTAAAGCATTAAACCCTCAGTAAAAAAATAAAGAAACACATGGAACCTCATTAATGAATTGTTGAATACGAAAAAAGGCCTCCACACTCCATCTCAATAATCCGATGGTAAATTTCACTAATCTTTCTGATATAACAAATGGGTTCAATGATTTTTTTCATAAATGTTGGTCCTGCTGTGGCTAATAATATGAAATACACTGATTAATCCCGCCTTGTAAATATCAAGGAGCAGTATCCTTGTATAAGTATGTTTGACCTCCTACATCGAAAGAAGTGCTCGTTGCTATTCTGGTAATGAAAGAATCCGCTGCAAGGCATGATGAAATAAGGTCTAGTCTTATAAAGGTAGGTATTTTTCTCTGTTGTTGACCTCCTCACCATGTTATAACTTTAATCTTCAAAACAGGTGTTCTCAAACAGTGCTCTTAAAGTAGCTATAGTCGTACCACTGTTCAAATCAGGTGATTCCAGCATGTTTACTAATTATCATCAAGGAATAATGCATGACAAAATGTCAAAACCTGGCGCCTACATAACTTACAATTTAATTCAACCTCTGATAGTTCAGTTAGAGATTCTGTTATGTTACAGTAGTAGCAGCTTTGAACCTATGAATGTATTAAGAGAGCTTTGTTTCAGTGGCCGCATGCTGTACTACAATGAAAAAGGCCTTTTCCCCCACAATTATAAAAAAGAGTTCCGTAAAGACTATAGAAGGGACAACTCAAACTTCATCGACATCAATTATTACTCTTTGTATTTTTAATCCATGAAGATTTTATATTTGTACATTTTTCCCAGAGACTAAAAAAAGCTATTTTTATTTGCATGATGTCATTCCAATGTAAAGTCTAGCAACATCACTTGAGCCAGTGTATCAGACTTCACGCAGCTCCCTCTGGAGCCACAAACGACTTTTTACAGCTTTTTTTTTCCGTATGCATTCCCCAAGACCTGCAAACAGATTTGAATGTGTAAAATTGGTGAAGTTCCCCTTTAAGGACCCTTTTACGCTGTGTGATTTTGGACTGTCACAGACGAAAAGTTGACAATCGTGAGAGAAGCGTGGTGAAATGTGGCGTTGCCAATCAAAAGCGGTGGTCTTAGATCATACTGTGAGACACTGAATGCTGATCTAGACAGTGTAACAACGACGCTCATTTACAAATCAACCAATCGGAATAAAACATGAAATTATGCAAAATACATGGCGAGGTGACATAATGCTAATACTACTCATGATTGTATGAATGATGATGTTTTGTTTACTACTGGAGAGCAGTTTGTAGACACACACACAGAGTGGCTACACACTCTCTAAGAGAGCCTGTTGTTGTCGACGGAGGGAGTGGAAACACAAGAGCCCTAAAGTTTGTGTGTGTGTCTGTTTGTGTACTTGTGTGTATGCATGTATGTATGTGTCTGTGTTTTTTTAGTGAGTGTGTGTTTGTGTGTAAGTCACTTGCGAGGATAAAGAGCCATTGTCTGCAGCTGGTGCATCCCCCACTCCTCCTCTCTGCAGCTGTGAGGAAATCAAACGCTCCTCTTTTCCCCTTCTCTGCTTCTGTCACAACCTGCTGATGCCTTATTAGGTCATTCATGGTGAAACGTAGTGATGACCCAGTGATGGTTTGTGTAGTGTAGCAGGTACACCAGCTCCATTGAGTTGTTACAAATAGGGAAAAAAAGAGAAAAAAGCCGGATGAGGAAGAATAAAACTAACTTTATTAATACAACAACTTTCAAATGACAAAAACTCACCTTTTTAAAATTGCTTTTAATGTTTAGCTTAGTCTGATGTGTTTTTAGTGTTTTACTATTTGATGTTGTTTTGCTGCTTTTATGTATTGTATTGCCTTTGAATTATTAGAAAAGCGCTTATAAGAATAAAATTATTTTATTTTATTATTAAAATAGAGTTTACAAAGTGTTGAATGCTGCCTGAGAAAGAAACCACATTTTTTCTAATCATGAATTTACATTGAATATAACATGGAAATAAAAAGTATTTGGAGCTTGGATCAAACATAAATCATCCAGTACAAAGATAAAAAACTGCTTTCGAAAGTTCTCATTCTTTGATAAAAAGTTAAAGGTACAATCCTGGTGTAACAATTGGGTTACGTTGACCGTAACCAAGGGTGCATTTTAGCCAAGAAACATCCAATCACCAAAGCTAAAATTAAATTTAATGTGTTTCTAACGTCTCACCTGCAACGCCGAACCATTTTGAACTAGGCAAAGGCTCTGTTTGCGCCTCCCGGCCCTGGCCTCCTTCCAATTTGTATTGTAGTATTTTGGAGCTGTCCACCGTGAACAAAATAAAAAGTCCAAACATAAATTTTTCTCAACACAAAGTTATAATATATAATAAATTAATAGGACCGATGCAGGATATATGACATCTAGCAGGTGTAAGTTGTAGACTGTAGCCCCCCCTGCTTCAGCCTCCCCTTCCAAACGTGAAGAAGAATCTATGGTGGCTGCGAAATACACAAAAAATGTGAACGGCCCTATCTACAGTAGAGACAGTGTTTGGTTTGTCCTTCTGGCTACTGTAGATAACCATAGCGTACGACATGGGCGGCCTCCATGGAAGGCGACCTGCAGCTATCTGTATAGGATGAAACGGCTCATTCTACAAGGCCTATATTCAGAGTCATTATCTCTAATGAAAGAAATTATATTTCTATTTCTGCCTATTGATCCTCCTAAAATGTTACACATTGGACATTTGAAACAAATTTAATTTACATAAATCAACCACACATAACCACATAAACTAAGGATATTGTAGTCTTACCACAGGGGCCATTTAGTAGCTTCTTGAGCTTTATGCATACACACGATTTTCATCAGCAGATGGTATTTGCCCAGCTGTCATGGAACTAGAAAATGATCAAATGTCGATTTTTTTTTGAGAGCTTAATTACATGTTTGCTCAAACATTGAGATTAAAAATGAATTCTTGACTCTTGAAACTTTCATTTTTAAAATAATCTCACCACAAGATCCATTTAGTACAATAGGATGTGACTAAACTGTCTGTCCAGGGGCCATTTCTGGCCTTCTATCCCCGCCTATCTCCGGCCTGTGACATAATGACAAAAATATAATATAATTGGTCCACAAGATGATTAATAAACTAATAATAAACTACTCCTTCATATACATTTGAATAAAAAATCTATTTAGTTTGTTGGAAAATAATTGTGAAGGTCAAAGGTGCCCATAAATGTATTCAAAGGGTTGATAAAAACAGAGCAGTTTGTTTGGCTGCAAACAACAAAATATGACAAAATTATGATATAAAAATGT